AAACCAAACCCAACCAATCACAGCCTACCTTAAAGCAAACCCATTCAATTACAGCCCCAACTCAACCCCATTCAAGCCAATCACAGCCCACTTAAAACCAAACTCAGCCAATCACAGATGACCTTAAACCAGATTACATCCCCCTCAAATCCAATTGGTCCAATCACAGCCAAACCTCAAATCAAATTCAGCCAATCACAGCCCTGCCTCAAGCACAACTGAGCCTATCACAGACCCAGCAAAAGTGTCAGAAACCACATGAACAAGTCTACAGGAGATTATCCAACAACACAATGAGGCAGGTGAGCGATGATTTAGGCACCATGATGATTGGTGAGGTAAAAGCTTCTATTAGCCTCGTAGCTCCAGCACAAAACTAAAGAAGCAAACTTTAGACACCAAATAAGTCTTAACTGATCGTCTACACTCGGAGTTAAGTTTTTGGCCAAACGATCGCTATAATAACAGTACAGAAGACCCTGCTTTTGGACCAAAGGTTTCAAAACAGTGAAGAGTTACATCACAGGAGAAAGCCCCTCGGTGCCAACTGACTGATCTCCTTAGTGAGCGTGCGGGTGTGTAAAGTGTGGATGCCTGTTTTATGGAGGTGCAAACATTATTTCACATAACTGGAATTCTGCTGGAAATCCGCCCAACCCCAGTATTCCTCCGAAAACCCAGTTTCGGACAAGGACAGCATTCTGATCTTTTTCCAAAAGAGCACAAAATGTGCACACGCGGCAGAATGAGAGATAACCAAGCTCTCTCGCTCTCTCTCTCTCTCTCACACACTCTCAGATGGAAGCTTTCACCCTGAACATTTGATAGTCTCATCCATTATTGAAGCTCTTCTCCTGTTTCAGACGCGTGTAGACGACTCACTTTACTTTCAAAAAGAACAAGTACAGCATTGTGTTTACAGATGTACCTGAGAATGAGTCCTGGATGTACACGGAGGTTGATATTGGGCAATATTTAACCTATTAATGTCCAAAAACTACAGTACTGTGCAAAGTCAGAGACCATGTTCTTTGCATATGACATCACTGTGCTGCAGTGGTGCGAACATCACCAGATGGAGGGCAGGAAGTGATTTTCAGCATAGGAAGCCGTCACAAGCTGGTTTGCATCGTTTACAGTCGCTCAAATAGATCTAACAGAAACCACGAGGATCTGTGAGTGAGCTCTGCTGATAGACTTAGAACGGTAACTACATGCAGCTCCTCTAACACTTAAATCAGGGTTAACAGCTACACCAGCGGTCGGCAACATGCGGCTCCAGAGCTGCATGCGGCTCTTTTACTGCCCTGTTGCGTCTCCACAGAATTAGGTTTTTAGGTAAAAATAAAATAATCCTCCTTTGCAGTAAAGTAAAGCTCAGCTGATCGTTCAACACAGTTTTAATAATAAACGGTCTTAAACTCTGGAGTTAATGTAGAACTGCTAATTCACTCTTTAACCGTGAAGATTAGCACGGAGACTGCTTGTCACCATAGCAACGCAGACAATAATCTCACCTAGCCAGTAGCTAATGAAAAAGGCAAAGAGAAAGATTTAAGGGGGCTCCCGAGTGGCGCAACCGTCTAAGCGTTGACCCTATCATCAGGAGATCGCGAATTCGATCCCTGGTGATGCTACAGCCATCCGTAGCCGGGAGTCCAAGAGAGCACAATTGGCCTCGCTCTCTCTGGGTGGGTAGGATGGCCCCTCCTTCTCCCCCATCACTTAACGCGACGCTAGTCAGCGCAGGCATCTGTTAGCTGACGTAACAGATCTGGCGGTTGGCACTTTCCTCCGAGCGCGTTCAGCTGTCCAGTGACGTTGCGTGAGCGGCAGTTCGAAAAGAAGCGGTGGCTGGCTTCACAGGTCTCGGAGGAAGCCTGTGTTAGCCTTAACCCCCTAGCGTTGATGGTATCACGTGATGGGGGGAGTCCTAACTAGCGGGTGGAATTGGAGACGACTAAATTTGGGGAGAAAATTAGGTAAAAATCCAAAAAAATATGAAAAGAGACAGATTTAAAATGAACATCGATAATTTGGAGACTAATTGACTTATTTGCATTTCTAATCAGTCGCGAAGCTGAAGTCAGTTTCTCACTCGCCAGCCTCTTGATTGAATTTTCCCCTTCCACCTTAATGGTGCAGCAGTTACATTCTGGTGCCTCAGGCAACATTTAAGGTGGGATGGGAGACTTTGAGCAAGAAGCTGGCGAATGAGAAGTGACTTTAGGCTTGTAAAAAATTGAACATTGAGAGACATTTTACAAGAAACTATTCAACTTCTGAGGAAACGTTTCCTGCCAGAGATGCAAGAAAAGCAGCTACAGCTGAGCTAAAGCTTAAAGCAGAGCAAAGCAAGTCTGCGTTTCCGTTTCTATTTTTTAGTACATCAGCACATACTGAGACATATTTACAGCCAAGATGGTAAAATAGACTTAAAATGTTGTGGCTCCCAAGGTGTTCTGAACTTTGTTGAAAGGACAAAATGGCTCTTGACATTTGGGCTGCAACCCCTGAGCTACACAAAAGACAGGAGAGCACATTAAACTCACCCTGCCATGCCAGCTTCCTGCTCAGATTTTTCCGTTCCACCTTAAATGCTGCAGCGATTACAGTCTGGCATGGGCATTATAATAATAACTACTGCACCATTTAAGGTAGAACGGAAAATTCAACTTCAGCCTTGTAAAGATGTGCCCCAATACTTCTGTGTGCTTTCTTCAGTTCTTTTGAACAGAGGGACGTCTGCAGGACGAGGTAGCTGCTCATATCTGCTGACTCCACATCAGGCGAGTCTTTCAGTTCAGTTAAACCTCACTCCTCTTCATAACAGAAGGATCACATCCAACATATGCTGTGATTTTCTGTTTCTATCTTTCCCTCTTAATGTTGTCTAAACTAGCGCAGTGTGAGCTCGACTCCATCTCGTCCATCCTGCTTTTCATTTCCTGCTCTCCGTATTGATTTTGTGTCATTAGAATCATGTAACTGCAAACATCCTAGTAATTTTTCAGTGTGGGGGGCTTTGCTTTTATTACATCTTCCATTCTTTCCATTTAGGCATGTTTTTCCTCACCTCCAAAGTTCAGTCTTACCCTGTGTTCGGACCGGCAGCAACGCAACGTGACAAAGCAGCCAGAGGTCATTCATTTGCACTCAGAGCTGGAGATTTCTGGCGACAGGAGGTGGCACCAGAGAACTTGTATTGAAGAGAATTTCCACTCAGTAATATTTTCCGGGGTTATAAACTATTTTAACTTTTTGTTTTTAGCTGTTTAGCTCTGTTCAACCCCATTCATTGAGGACTCGCTCGTGGGCACCCTCTGGTGTTTTGCAGTCATGTTTTATATAACGCGGGAAATAGGAAGAGGCCAGACTAATTATAACCGGCTGTGGCAGCGCTTTATGCAAATAAGGAGCGAAGGAGCATGGTGACTACCAAGAGGAATTAGAACGTATGCAATCTTCAATCTTCGGTGCGCTCCTACTAGAGGTGGAATAATGGCGGCATTGCTTTAACCGCAAATAGTGCTGTTTCTCTGATAGGGGACGTTTTGGTGGTCTGCCTGGTCTACCAGGTGGTTGTTATGCATCCTATTTTTCCTCTGTAGCTTTTAATTATTTTGTTTCAACCCCAGTAATCCATCTTCTCAAAAATATCTCCTGCAAAATGAACAGCTTGTTCTTAATGGCCGTTTTGACTGGAACCAGAGTGTTTTAGCAACAACTAAAGAGATGCACAGACACAGGGTTTTACTGCAGCAGGAGGACGTCACGCCCACACAGACCTCCTCACTCCGGCTCTGCAGTCTCTCTGTGGTTACATAACAGCAGACTGCATTAGTAATACCTGCAGAGCCAGCAGGACCATAATCACCACAGCTCAGATAGCGCACACATACACACACACACACACCTTACATTATATTAGTCCTACACACTCACACTCTCTCTGATCCCACACCAGGCATAAAAACACCTCCACACACAAACACACCTGCTGTTCACTTCAGCACAAAGGCTGGTTCCGCACTAAAGGCAATGCAGACACAACACTGAACTCACTCTATTCATAAAACATGACTAAACACACACACACACACACACACACACACACACACACACACACACACCTCAATACTGAGCACATGTAGGTCGAGGCCACTCGCCCACACAGCGCCTATTGTCAAGTGCAATCAATACAGGCAAGTACAGTCGACACTGACAATATTTGCAGACACTGACTAACTTAAGGCCCTTATCCCTCATCCCTCCATTTTGTGTGTTCACATCTAGGGGTAGGGTGTCAAGATTTTTGTTGATATAGAGGGGTAGGGAGAAGTGTTACAGTTACATGGCCCTCCAAAGTGTTAAGAGGAAAAAAAGAAAAAACTGTAAGACGGCTGCGCAAGCAACCAAAGAAACTCACAAATGTGAGTATTTTCTCTGGTAGAAATTAGAAATTACGATAACCATTGATTGATCTTAATTTAATGTTGTTTCAATGTATTATAATTCTTTTCTTTATAATACACATTAAAAATCGCTAACAGTACATTGATGTCTCGGTAGCTAGCTAGCTAAAATTCACGTTCCACCTTAAATGATGCAGAAGTTACATTCTGGCGCCTCAGGTGTCAGACCTCCATTTAAGGTGGAACAGGAAAATTCGAACAAGAATCTGGCAAATAGCTGACTTCACCTTCATATCACTGAAGAATAAGTAGTGGGCGATTATTAATTAATGTCCCCCCCCCTTCGAAGACGTGACATATAAATGTAACTAAAGCCCAGCAGCGAGGCAAGGTGACACCCGAAAACAAGGGGCAGGGGTAAAAATGAGAAAAGGAATTGGGCCTTCGTCTCACCGATCCCTACTAACAGTGAATGTAACCACAAAGGTGAAAGATGTTGTAAATGAAAAGAAGGTTTCATTCACTGTTAGCCATGTTGGCAATCCATGTAAAACAAACAAACAGATAAACGCAGTAATTTCAAACCTTTCTTCTCTCCGGTGAAGGGAACGACGTCGTCTCTGTCTTTGTACTCCATCGCCTCTTTCTCCAGGTACTGCAGCAGTCTATCTCGGTTAAACGGTCCTGTCGGTGTCTTCAACGTCTGGTCCTTCTGCCTCAGGCCTGCAGGGAGCAGGGCATTCTGGGTAAAGGCACAGGGAAGAAGGATTTTAAAGGGATAAAGTGATTTTTCAAAATGACTTCAGAGTGGTGCAAAACGCTCCGTTCTAGAGAATCTAGAGAGTCAGAATTGTTCACAGTGGTGGTGATAGGAACCAGACGTCCACCTCTCTTGCATGAAATTGGTTATGAATTCACTTGTTTTAAGATCATTTTGAGAAGATTTTGGCCCTAAAACAGATTCTTTAAATCCATTCATGGAAGGATATTTTTTCAGGTTTTTCACCATTTTTCCATCATCAACATTCTCTGAGTGACTCTGTTTACACACCGAATTCTGCAAAAACTCAGCATCAAAAGCATTTTTATTATGTACATCATTCCATCAGACAGTATGAATCAATAGCCAAATATCCCTTCATGCTTAGCAGGCTAACCATATATATATATATATATATATATATATATATATATATATATATATATATATATATACACACATATACATACATACACACACACACACACACAGTTTTGGTTCTTATGGATCTTTTTAATGTAAAGGGAAATCCTATATACTATAATAATGTCGCTGTTAACCTACAAAAACTAGTAATTTACTCTAACAAGCACTAACACAGAGACAGCACTGATCTTTAGTATTTTATACATTTTACTGATGCATATGTTGATATGTTTTATGCTCTACGTTTATAAAGAATATTTTCTTTTCCTTCTTTTAAATTAAGCCTCCTCATATTTTACCCTTTTGGCTGTTCATCGTAAACGTCATACTTTGCGCACCTCTCTAACAGAGAGAGCTGTTAACCGGCGTCATAAACAGAGTTAACTGCAGCTGCATTTGACGAGTTCAGTGAAGCCGAAACTCATCAGGAATCCGGTTTTATGTGAACGTACTTCGTGAGATCGAGCCCTGAGAACAGAGTTCAGCTTCAATCTCCATCACAATAAACCTGTTTACCTCAACATCAACTCTGTTATTCCTCACCACATTCCAAAATCCAAACACTTGTTAGCGCTAGCAACTCTGGGAAAGCTCAGAGCCTCCGTTCCCTCGTAAACAAACAAACACACAGTTGTTTTGTATAAACACTCATGTACACAACATGCGATCTTTCCTCATCTCCTCATTAAGAGATATTTATAACATCTGTGCAGTGAAATTCAGCCAAAACACAGATCAGCTACAAACAAACTAAGAACTCTTTCCGCCCTCACAGCAAAATCTAACATGATTACGGCACAAAGTGGCTAATTACATTAAACCTCATCACCACAGAAACCTGTTATACTGTTGTGGACATTATAAATAATCCTCATATGGGAAACAGAAACAGGGAACCTTCTTTTTTAATGACACAACACAATTCTGTGTTCAGGACATTTGGACGAGGGTAGCTTGTCAGAAATGACCCAAATAGACGAGCTTAACCACCTTTAAGAGCTGCTTTACAGGTTTTACCTGATCTGTCTCACTGTCTCTCTTGGAATTGGAGTAGATGGAGCCTTTATTAAAACCTTTATTCACCTTCAGTGGACAAACACTGATTCAGGAGGGTGTAAAAGTAAATTAAAAGGCTCAACTACATTGATTATAATTGATTATAACATTCATATATAAGGTACGCACTCATTTTTTTAGTTTGAAAACTGAAATACTGGTTTGCTTTAATTGAAATTTGGGCTGTGAATGTGATGAATGTACTGTTCTTAAAGGGATGCGCCAACATGAGAACTGTGTACCAAATATCTAATAGTTTGCATGTACGATGCTGATGCTGATGCATAAACATATTTTAAAAAGTACAAATCCGGACTAAATGCACCCAATGGAGCATTACAGAGAAATATAATATTTATTTCTATAAGGCTACAAATGCAATAATATGATTTAATTAAAATCTGGCACTTACAGAAAATAAACATGACGCTAGATGTCTTATTCTTATTCTTATTGTCCACATTCTATTAGGTATCAACATGGACTTTTGTTTCTAGCAGTATCTGAGCTCAGGACTAGCTTTCTCACTAACCTATCGGTAACTAGCAAAGACACTTTCGATAAGACAAAGCACTTTTTGTAAGTCACTCTGGATAAGAGCGTCTGCTAAATGCTGTAAATGTAAATGTATCAACATCTTAATTAGGGAGGCACAGATATGGGAATTGTGTATGAATGTTGATATCTGATATTTTTCATGTGCAATGTTGTTGGTGATACATAAATATTTATTGCTTTTAATATATTGTTAATATTTTTATCATATCACATTAACCATACATTTGACAAAGCTAATAAAGAACAGGCAACCTGCATTAAAGGGTCCAATAAAATAACATGTAATGCGTGACTATGAGCCACATTTTGGTCGCTGAAGTTAACAGTAGGCAGTAAAGTTTAAAAAACTGTTGTCGGAATAATACTTGCATGATGGTAGAGCAACTAACACTCAAAGCCAGTGAGAACTCTCCACCAGTTAAGAGCTCCTTCAAAAAAAAATCAATATGAAGCAAAGCAGAGGAAAACAATGTAAAATGTAGTTCAGGCCAGACGTCTCCAACCCTTTCACTGTACAGCCAACGCCCGAGTTCAGGATCGATCCTCGTCTAAAACACCATGATCCAGACCACAGTAAGCTGTGTTAAGGCTGCACTATGTCAGATTCTTTTCTAAAGTAGTAGCTTAATGATCACAGAAAAAAAAAAATTCTTAAACCAGGGTGTCCTTGTGCTGTTGTGAGCTGCTCTATAAAACCTAAAATATTCATTTAAAAGTTGGCGTTGTCATTTTCTAGTCATTTTCTAGTCATTTTATCAGAAACTCTGGGTCCAAGTTGGTTTACCGGATGTTTTCTAAATTTGCCTCTATCACACCATGTGGTAAACAGAAATTGTTCAAAGTTCATACTTAAAATGCTAATATTGCCTAGAAGTAGGGATTCACCAACATGGGAACTGGGCCAATGATAATACCCAATATTTTCCATGTGCATATCTGCCAAAACCAACATATAAACATTTATAAAATGTAGAAATTGGGATTTGGTCTATTTGCATTGGCATTACAAAGATATATAATATTTCTGTGGAGTAACAAATGCAGTAAAAAGAATAAAACGACTCCTCCAAAATACATCATCAAATATCAGTTTGAAATCCCTGTTAAATCTAAACAATTTTTTAAAAGCAATAACTACCCATACTGACATGATTCTGATATCATTGTGCATCCTTGGCTAAAAGCATGCTAACATGTGAAACCGGCATAAAGAGGGTGCAACACTGCACAAAAATAAAGTTACTACTGTGCTGCACAAGACTACGGAGATCCACACCACGGGTGATGGCTGAATTCTAAGCAGAGAGAAAACGAAATCTCGAAAGCATCTCTCACAAGGCAGCGCGTTATCTGTCTTGTTGGGTGGCGTTTGGTAAGTTGAATGAACCCATTTTACTACCCTAATGCTCGCCTACATGACATTTAAACCCTGGGTTCACTACACCACTTTTAAAGTCTTAAGAGATTATAAAAAAGCTTGGCATCTCACAGTATCACAATGGTTTTTGCAGATTTTTTGGGTGACTGAAATATTGGGGATCACACACTAAATGACTCACGATCACTTACGACTCAACTTTTAAACTGTTGCTTAACCAAACAGAATTCACTCAAATTCCCGTTCTCCTTTTACTAGGAGACGCAAATAAACAAACATGTAGCTGCTGCTGCTGTTTTCTCTGTCACTGACACAGTAAAAAAGCAGCAGGCAAACATGTTTAAATGAGGCTCATGCATTAAAAATGTGATCAGTGTGTTTTTTGAGTTTTAAACGTACATAAACATGCCTTAAACTCAGCTCATTAAAAAGCTTCACTTCACACATGAGAGACTTTTCGCCAATTTTTTTTTTAATTTGCTTTATTTTCTTCTTTGGCGCTCTCTGTTTTTATTGGCTGTTGCAGGAATTTATTCAGAGTTGTTGACTAGTTTACACTAGATTACGCTCAGTCGGGTAGAAAAATCAGACACGTTTGATAAACTCTTGACTGGTCTGAAATGCTATCTGGAGGTAAAAAATCTGAGTCTGTGCCCCTCACACACTACTCGATTCTCTCTCCAACTGACCCAAAATCTGCAGAATAGAGCTGACCAGCTGAGACTGAGAATCAAGGTTAAAAGTCATGTAATGTAACCCCGGCTTTACCAGCACAATGTGTTGTTCGGAAGTGTGGTGGCCTTTGCACAATGATGACGAAAGCGTCCGTGCAATGATGCTTCAATCAGGGCAATTTAGGGAAACTATATGGACCCTTTATCCCATATGAATCGGCTAGTCAAATCACGCACGGATTGGCTTTTACAACAGGCTTTTACAAAGTAATTTGCAGAACTTTTGCAAATCTGGATGCTAATGGCGAAGTGTAAAAGGTCCTCAGAGGTCCATTCTCCTCCACAAGCTGCCTGCAATTACAAGTTTCTACCAGAGTGGTCGCCAAAACCCCCTAAATTGTGGCCTAGTTACAGGGACTAGAAACCTGCTCTAGGCCAGATCACAATACTGCAATATTTCACATTCCAGAGTGTATCAAATCTTGTTGAAACGATTATATATTATCACAGAAACATGGTTAAACATCTCTCTTACCTCAGGGTCCATCTCCTCCAGAGCACTCTCCAGCTGCTTGAGCTCCTCCTCGGAGAGTTTATTGAGGATTTCATCCTCGTCGATCTCTTTGTACTTTTCCAGATCTTTCTTAAACGAGAGCGCCATGGTTACGACCTTCCAGGGTGCAGCTACAGCAAGGCAGACCTCCGTCCAGTACGATTCAAGATCTAAACAGAGACAAGGAAAGGAAAAATGAATAAAAGCTGACCAGTTCAACCCGTCTTTGCCGCGAATGTGACATTACGAAGCAGGCAAGATCACAATAAATGCCTTGTTGAGCTGCTGATGGGGAAAAAAATGTCACTAACGCAATCGAATCACTGAGTGAAGAAGCCAAAAACATGAGACGAGTCTGGAGTTTGAGGAAAAAACACTGGATTCTCACAGCAGCTGAGGCTGTCACATGCTAAAGAAGGTAAAAAAAAAGAAAAACAAAAGCCTGGCCAGTGTCAGAGAAGAGCAACAACACAGCCTGTTACCATGGTTACTGCAACCAGGCACAATTACATAACTTAATGCCAAAGTGTGAACTTGTTTTAGCAGCAATCAATGAAGCGAGCGATACACTGAGCAGGTCCAGATACACAAGATACACAAGAGTGTAACTAGACAATTATCAATACTTAGTACTACTACAACTGTAATTACTAAATATATATATATATATATATATATATCATATTTCTAATATTGATATTGCTATCTTGAGAGCACATAATAATTAACAACTTTATCTTGAGATCACAAGGTAAAGCAACATATCGTGATCTTGAGATAACAAAAGTAGTTTTCTTGAGATCAAAATTAATTAAGTCATGATCTCAAGATAACTACTTTTGTCATCTCAAGATCACATGATACATCGTGATCTCAAGATAACAACTGAATTATCACAAGGGAGTTATTATCTCAAGATCACAACTTGATTTTCTTGTGATCTCAAGATAACTTGTTATCTCAGGATCTCAAGATAATTTTGTCATGATCTCAAGATAGCAAATTTTGTTATCTTGAGATCACAAGATAATTGAGTTGAGGAATTAAGATAACAATCCAGAGGATCGTAACTACCTCATGGTGTCTCTGGACTTCCACACAAACCACCGTATTATGATTTGATTTGATGTGAAGTTATTGTTGTGTTTACAGTCCAGTTTTGCAGAAATAAAAACACCCTTTATATTTTTTTGTATTTTTCATATCAACACTTATGTGCAGATTTGATGTATTGTGTGATTAAGTGTGTTATGAGGTGAAGCGACAGTAGCGGCTCTAAACTACCGAGTTAAACACACAAACCGCTCATGAATCACGATAATGATTTTTAACATGACGTTAAAGTGTTCGAGCTTCTTCTCTCAGATCTGGCTCTTAGTCAGGAATGACGGAACATTTTTCCAGATGTTTCTCCAGAGGCTGACAGATGTTCTCCATTCTGAAACCCTAACCGCCCGCTCAGATGACCTCTGACCCCTGAGCTGGAACTTACACTTACAACATCTCCATCTCATCTAAACACACACTGACCTCTCAATGACCCTGAGAGAGAGAGAGAGAGAGAGAGAGAGAGAGAGAGCGAGAGCAGAAAAAACAGTAAAAGAGAGAAAAAAGATAAGGATGATTTATAAAAGAGAACAGAGGAGAAACAGAAAAGAAAAAATAAAAAGAAAACAGCAAAGAGAGACAGAGAGACAGAGAAACGAAAGAAAAAAGGAGAGACAAAACAGAGACAGACAGAGAGAAAAGAGAAAGCAAAAGAGAGAAAAACAGAAGCAGAAAAAGAAAGAGGGGAAAAAAAGAAAAAGGAAAAAAGGAGAAAGAGAGAGAGTCTGCGCTCCTGTTCAGAGCCGTTTGCTGTTATTGGCTCAGACGCGGCTGTGATTTACCGCAGATTCCTCCATTAAGATTACAAAGCAGATGAAAGAACGAATGTTGGCGCGAACAACTACGATGACAAACGAGCGAAACCGCAGCGTGTGCTCAGACTGTATTCTTAGCGCTCGCAATTAGACACTTTTCCTCCACATGTTTGGAATAAAGAGTCTTTTGTTTGGACAATTTCACTCAGTCAGAGATACAGAGATGATAACGTCACGCAGGTTTAAAAGGGTCAACTGCAGTTTAGATCTTTTCCCGCTGGGTCCGTCACTCTCTTACAATCTCCAGTGCTAAAAAACACAAAAAAGCCATTGAGTTTGCAGTAGTGCTGGTCAAAACACTGACACCAGTCCTGTAAGGGAGGGTCGGGGATGATTAGCTCACTTTTAAATGAAAATCAGATCTTTTGGTTTGGAAAATGATGATGGAAACTATGAGCAACTGTCCATACCATCTATTGCAATTGTTAACCTAGTTTAAATGCCCGAAAATGTGCTTGTAAATAGACAGCAGTAACTGTATTTGCCTGACTAACAGTTTTGAGTTTCTTTTGATGTTTTGATGTTAGGCCACATCCTGAATCAGCCCCGATATGTTTGTCTGGCTTTATAACGTTCTGTAACAGCCTGAGGGAGATCTTTAGTTTTTCTTGACCATCATGCTTGTTAAACTGATAAAGCCGTGCTGCAGCCTTCCACACATGGCATGCCTTCCCTCACCAAACATGAACAGAGGTTTAAATGACTTTTATTTTGTGAATACATCAGACATTAAATACAAAAAAGACAAAATATTCACTACAGTAACAGTAACCTTTAGGCTACTTCACACAGTTTAAATAATAATGAGTTAAACAAGAAATAATTTATAGACTGTAAGCACACAGTTGATTAAACCTATCATTCAAAACTACCAAACCATACCAAGAACTACCAAACCAGACCAAGAAACTACCAAACCACACCAAAAACTACCCAGCCACTCCAAGAACTACCAAACCATACCAAAACACACCAAAAATTACCAAACCATAGCAAAAACTAAAACTACCAAACCATTCCAAGAACTACCAATCTATACCAAGAGCTACCAAACCACACCATAAACTACCAAGCTACAACAGGAACTACTAAACCACACCAAGAACTACCAAACCACACCGAGAACTACTGATCTAAACCAGGAACGTACATGTTTCTGACCAGAAAACAGTGTATTTTCTCCAGTTTAAGCAGGTACAGCAGGTAGTGTAGCACTACCACATAACCTGCTGTGCTAAAATGTGTTACTGGAGAAACGTATCGCCATCAAATAAGACGATCCTGAGTCTGTCAACAGAAGGAGCAGCCGGCATTCTGTATCTACAGCTTTTTTCCTGACACCTCACGACAGTATCGTCGATCACCAGTGACAAGCCCACTGTAAAAACTGTATGAACACTATATAGCGCTTTTTAAATGAAACAGTAGAAGCCATATCGCCCCCTGCACTTCCTGTAGTGTATTACACTCTATCAGAATGACTGTGTGGGTCATATGAACATTATAAAGCCCTTTTTAAATGAAACAATAGAAGCCATAACGCCCCCTACACTTCATGTAGTGTATTACTGTCTATCAGAATGACTGTGTGGGTCATATGAGCATTACAAAGCACTGAGGAGCTTTTTCTTCTACAGGTCAATGAAAGCAAAATGATTTTGAGTTTACTGAGGACACACACAGTGTAAAAAACACACCAAACTCCCTCTCAAGTCAGACAAAAAATAAACGAAAAAATGCTGCAAAGTAAAACTGAGAAGCTCCTGCTCCTGCCAGGACGGCCTGTTATTTAGCTCCATTTCATCAGCTTGTGCCAGTGTTTAAATGTGAGCAACCTGAGCGCATAATAAAGGACGTTTTCACTCCAAGCCAAAAAACATCACCAGCCAAATCTAAACAGCCACAGCTCAGCTCTCTGACAGGTTAAAGGCTCTGGAGCTGGATTACAGCTGGAGACACACTGCAGGTTTCGGTAAAAGTAGCTACAGTTGCTGGAAAAAGGTGAACTTAAAGGGGACCTATTATGCTCATTTTCAGTGTTCATAATTTAATTTTTTGTCTAGTAAAATAGATTTACATTTATTTTCCTCATATTGTACATCTCTATTCACCCTCTGTCTGAAACACGCCGTTGGAGCTCCTGTGTCTTTAAGCCCCGCCTCCCAGTGAGCCCAGTGGGCTCTGACTGGTCAGCTTATCCACTCTATTCTGACTGTATTAAAATCACTCCACAATTATTACCGTCAGACTGTAAAACTACACACACTGCAGATTCATACTGGACTAAAATCATGGATCTTGTCGTTAATCTTTTTTTTTTTTACAGAATTACAGAACCTCTTCGGCTCCAGCAGGGCTTAAAATATAATTTGTAACGTGTACTGTATGTTTATATTTATTTCCACTGTTTGTTGTTTGGTTGTATTTGCTTTTCTTTGTCAGTGGTGCTGAACAGAAACAGTGACATCACAAATTTCAATATACAGTAAAACTCAATTCTCTGGAACCTGAACAGACTGAGAGAAAGAAGGAAGAAGAAGATTAATCCAGATTAGATCATCACCAGGAAGAAATGACTAAATTTAGTTTAAACTCCCTGAGGTGAAAAAACTCCATCCTCCACCCAGTCTCCCTTTTCACTTCCACTGAGAGAAAGAGAGTGAGAGGGAGAGAGAAGAAAGAAAGAAAAAGATAAAGTAAGGGAGAAGTGACAGAAAAAAGAGGAACAGACAGAGTGTAAGAAAAAGCAAGAAAGACTAAATGTGTGAAAGAATGGGTGCAAAAAAGAAGGGTGCAAGATGTAGAGAGAGTGAGAGAAAGAGACAGAATGACAGAGAGACAAAAAACAGAAAAAAACTAAGAAAAAAAAAAGAGAGGCAGAAACGAGATAAGAGAGACGGAAAGAAACAGAAGAGACACCGAAAAGAGAGAGGTAGAGTGAAATGAGAGAAAACAGAGAGAAAGAGACAGAACGAGACACAAAGAGAAGAGAAAGGTGCTAGAACAGAGAGAGAAAGACAGAGAGCGACAGAGACAGAGAAATGAGAGAAAGAAAGAGAGAGAGAATGACAGAGAACAAGAGGAAGAGAGATAGACAATGAGAGTGAAAGAAAAGAAAGGAACAGAGAAAGAGCTAGAAAAAGAAGAGAAAGAGAGGAGATAAGAGAGATAATGAGAGAAAAGAGATATTAGAGTGAGAGAGTGAGAAAGAGATAAAAGAGAGGAGATATAATGAGTGAGATAATGAGAGAAAATAGAGAAAAAGAATAAGAGAAAGGCATATATAGATGAGAGAGAGAGATAGAGAAAGATGTAAATAGAGATAATGAGAGAATTAGAGATAGACAAAGAGAGAGAGACAGAGGGGATAGAGAGAAAGAGAGATAAGAGAGACAGATAATGAGAAAAAGCGAGAGCGAGAGAGAGAGAGAGAGAAAGATATACAGAGTGAGAGAATGAGAAAGATATTAAATGAGAGTGAGAGAATGAGAAAGAGAGAATGAGAGATAATGAGAGAGAGACGAGAGACAGATAATGAGAGAGTGAATGAATGAGAGATATACATAGTGAGAGAGAGATAATGAGAGATAATGAGAGAGAGAGAGAGAGAGAGAGAGAGAGAGAGAGAGTGTGAGTGAGAGTGTGTGTGTGTGTGTGTGTTATGTAACTGAGCTGCAGGCTGATGGTGTGTGTTCTGTGTTCTACAGATGGTAGCCGGTCGTCTCATTGAGGTAGTGACCGGGCCTTCAGTGACCAGCTCTCCTCCACACTGCACTCACTTACAGGGTCGTTTAGTGGAATAAGAACAATCTGTTCCTTCTCCTCGTCCCTCTGGACGCGTGTTAGAATCCCTTCTTCTGTGCTCAGTGATGGATCCACACACTCAGGCCTCGAAGGAGCCGCTTTACATAACGGACTGATCGCCGTCCCACACCTGAACACTCGCTGTCTTAAAGCGACAGTTCAGCTAAAAATATGATCCCTCCCAGTTTCTCCTCTCACCCCAAATGCAGCTGATCAGCCGAGATGCGTTTGGTGTCTGAAGTTCGCTTCTTTAGTTTTAGCACTGGAGCTACGAGGCTAATGTAGCAAACAAATAATGAAAGCTTATAACCCACCAATTAGCATGCTGCTAACTGCAAGCATGTGGGGTTACTCAGTAATCTTGATTATGTGGTATTTAGAGGGTGTAAGAAAATACTGATACACTTGAGTATCGCAATATTATGTTTTGTGATACTGTACTGACTCTCAAAAACACAGTATCGTAGTTTACATTCAAGGATTTGTAAAAATACTGCACTGAAAATCACAAACCACAGCTTAGCAAACAGCTGATGCCCAAGTAATGCTGTAGTGTTTTTCTTTGTTAAAAAAAACAACATTACTATTGTTTGGGAAAGAAAGAATAATAAATGTCCCAAGTTTGCGAGCCTGTTACTAACAGCACAAACAGCCACTCACCACACAGGATTCAACAATGAAGGTCTGACTCAACCTTCACCGATAAATCATATGATTCACAGGCCGAGCCCGTAACTGACCGAAAACAAACACTGCCTCTCAGCCCTTAAACACAGACTAACTCTGCATTACAGCAGCGTTGCTGTAGCGTCAGACTGATAATGCCAGTAATAACCAACAATAAAGAAAATTCAGAGACAAAAGGTGGGAAAAGTGAGATGCGTTACTTTTGCAGTGTTTACCGTCGCTAACAGCAGTCAGGACCTGTGACCGTGTTAACACTGAATAATGGCGCAGTGCAAAAAACACCTCACATGAATTCTGATAGGATTGTTCTTATTACGGTGGCATAGCCACAAATCCTGCCAGTACAACCCAAACACCACCTAGTACAACAAAAACTCCTCCCAGCACAATCAGAACCCCTTTAAGTACAACCGAAACCCTTCTTAGTACAACCAAAACCCCTCCCACTACAACTAAATTCCTCCCGCTACTAACAAAACACCTCCCACTACAACTAAATTCCTCCCACTACTAACAAAACCCCTCCCACTACAACCAAACCCCTCCCACTACAGCCTAAACCCCTCCCACTACAACCTAAACCCCTCCCACTACAACCTAAACCCCTTCCACTATAAACAAAATCCCTCCCAGTACAACTGAAACTCCTCCCCCTGCAGTACATCACAGGGCTCGTGATCCGTGATCTGTGAGGAAGACAATCATGGAGGACGCTCATGTTTTGGGACCAGGCGAAACTAAACGCTTTAAAGCACTATGGACAGACGAACTTCCAGGCAGCAACCATCTTTAACACAACACAGGAAGAGGCTGATCAGTAAACAGTTGGTAATTAGTTGCCGTATAATGAGCGGATTTGCATATTCCGTCCCGCACTGCAATCAGACTGCGGTCCGACTAACTGGAGACGCATTTGACTACCAAGTGTAAATGCATGTGGCTAAAATCTTATCAGGATACAATCCAGACACAGAAAGTGTCCAGGTGTGAACGGGGTCAAGAAAAGTTCTTGAATTATCGTGGTTTTACTTGTCTGCCTTTTTCACTCCGCTCTATTTGTGCCACTTCAACCTGGTAATGTTCAGATTTATGCAGAAATTGTGAGAAATTGGTGGAATCCCCCTTCTAGTTTGAGGAAGGAGGACTAAGTGGCTTTGAATAAAAGCTTGTTCTAAATAAACGAATGCAAATGCCCAGTTAATGGAGAGAGAGGACGAAGCTGGAGCTGAGAAGGCCGAGCTGCTCAGGGCAGTTTATTTACTGCACACATTCTTCAGAAACAGCAGAAGCAGAGCAGTCATCCTTCAGTGACCCACCACGCCCTGCGCACACGGAGCAGGGTGCACGAGCGCGCGCGCTCCCACACACACACAAAGCAGTCCCAGGGTGGTGCTGCTCTGAGACATCGTTAAACTCCCTCCACTGATAAGCAACTGTAGCCCCTTTTACAGCAAATGCTCTGTTAATAATAATAATAATAATAATAATAATAATAATAATAATGCACACGCTTCGGAAACTCAGACAGAGGCGGAAGAACACACTAATACTGAAACCGTGCGCTCGATGACGGAATCCCACTTTACGAGCACGAGCGTGCGCGCGCTTCTTTTCGGAGGCCCACGAACTGCTTCCCAGTCAAAGGAGAATTCCACCGATTTTTCTAAATTTCTGCGTTGGGATGTAAACAAAGTGATTCAGAGTGGTTTGGTGTGAAATGGTTCAGGTTTCTTTACAGTGGTGGTGATAGGAACCAGGGGTCGCCATGACTACAACACAAATATAGATATTTTATTTACTATCCAAAACCACCAGTGAACCTACTGGTAATGTTGATGATGGGTAATAGTGATAAATAAGATATAATTCGTTTTCTATGAGGACAATTTTGCTTCACATCGCCCTGCATGCATCCTTCCATTGTAAATGAATGGATTTTGAGGCCAAAACCTCCCAAAACTATCATAGCTAAAGCAATGTCTCCGGCATCAGGCAGTGAATTCATAACCATTTCATGTAATAACTTCCTGTGAGAGAGCTTTAAGAGGTGGACGTCTGGTTCCTATCACCACCACTGTGAACAACTCTGAGTCGCTGAGTGTGTCCAGAACGGAGCATTTCACACCAAACCACTCTGAATAACTCTATTTACATCTTAACCGTTCAATTATGTAGATTTTCTTTTAAAAAAACTGGTGGAGGGTGGAGTTTCTCTTCAACATCGAGCTCAGGTTTTTCCTCAGAACCCAGAGCAAAGTCAACTCACCTTCAGACACGAAAACAGAGCCTTCTAACCTACAACGTACAACTTCTCCACACTATAGTCGTCTCAGGAGATTACTGAAGATCAGATTTAAGAAATAAGACATGAATCAGTTTTCATTTTGTCCCTAAAACTTCACGTGTGTGTATTAGAGCAGCTGTTAGCATCACAGAGCACAGAAGAAACCAAACAAGCTCTCACTTCACAGTGTCTGCAGCCGGCTGAGTAAAAACTGATCGTGAAAAGTTAAAAGCAAGAGTAGAGAGATATACTGCAGTTGATTTGAGGCACAATTATCATAATCATCCTCATCATTACCTAAGCTAAGCTAATCTGCCAACACAGACACAGCGACTATTAGCGCACTTTCTCCAGCTATAATCGCCACTCGGAGCGTGTAAGAGGTAATAAAGTCGGTTATTTACCTTAATAAGCTGGTTCGGCTCCTCTACAGACCTCTGTCGCCCCTTTTTTCTGTCAAGAAGCACCAGAAATTATTTTCTCTCCACTTTCTCGCTCTCACTAAGGGCGGCGACGCAGGAAGACACACAAGCTAGAATGATTGACGTGCGGAGCGGCCAATGAGCGCCGCTCGACACGCCGAGCCCCCGCCCACTCTAGCATGAGGTTTATGGGTATTGTAGTTCCTTGTGTGCGCCGTAAAGAGTGAATGCTTTTAAGATGCGTTTTTATAATCTCCTCTCGTCGAACTAAACCAACGTAAACAACTGAGGATATAATATGTAATTATACTTACATTTACTAGATAGATTACTTTTATTGATGCTTACTTTTTATTTTTTATTAAAGATTAGCATAGTAAAGTGGGCCTAGTGCCAAAAAAGCACTGATGACCTTGCAAAGATGTTGGAAGAAAAACAGGTCAGATCAGCTCAGATTGTGTGGTGAAAACACTTTGTAATGATTATTAAAGTGAATGAAAAAGTACATGGACACTTTCTATGCATCCCTGGAGTTGATAGGGATATTTGTCATGCAAATCTCATGCAAAGGTGGACTAGGCCTGCTATGTTGCTGTGCAACCTGGATGACTTGTATTGACTGCCTATTAGTGTGAAATTAAAATATTAAGTAAATAGTAGTAAACTGGCCAACTTGGGCCTAAAACCATTAAGGTGTAGTTTGTTTTCATCTTGACTATTGTTAATCACATATATGTATATATACCCATATATATATATATATATATATATATATATATATATATATATATATATATGCACACAGTATATATGTACATCTGTGTCCGTGTATATATTCGTATAAATGCATATAAGCTTGAAGGTTTTTGGTTTTGTATAGTAAATAAAATGGCTACTGACTTTCCAAAATAAGAGAATATATCAGTCTTAAAGGCAGTACAAAAACAGCCTGTTAAATTATCAGGGATGCAGATTTTTGCTGTAGACATCAAGACCCCTGGTTGCTGGTTTCTATACTATGAGCCATTTCACATTAACACTACTCTGTATCACTGTTCTGTTCTATTCTATTTCTATGCTATTTTCTTGGATTGCATGTTTGCCATTATATTACGTAATTGATTTTCAAAAATCCCTTTAAAGGAAAACTACACTGATTTTTTCGGAACAATCCTACATAATAAAAAGGTTAAGATGTAAACAAAGTCATTCAGAGTGGTTTGGTGTGAAATGCTCCGTTCTAGAGAAGCTTACAGAGTCAGAATTGTTCACAGTGGTCCACCTCTAAAAGCTCCCTCACAGAAAGTTATTACACAAAATGGTTATGAATTCACTGCCTGATGACTGAGACACTGTTTTACGGTAGTTTTAAGAAGATTTTGGCCTTAAAATCCATTCATGGTGGAGGGATACATGCAAGGTGTTGTGAGACAAAATAGTTTCCCATCATGAACATTTTATATAAAACTCAGAAGAAATGTGTAGGTTAACTGGTGGTTTTGGATAGTAAATAAAATGTCTATGTTTGTGCTGTAGTCATGGTGACCCCTGGTTCCTATCACCACTGTAAAGAAATCTGAACCATTTCACGCCAAATCACTCTGAATCACTCTGTTTCCATTTCAAACACAGAATTTTCCAGAAATTTTGAAAAACTAATGAAGTTCCCCTTTAAATGGCTATCGAAGCACAACAGTGGGTACCTTGTGCCACCCGGTGGTGACATAACAGTATCGCATGAATAAAAAATCTTTTAGTTTTCTAGTAGTCTCTGAATTGCACGCTGCTCTTGGTTCAGAATTATAAACAGTCTTTTCCACAGCGCCTCTATCGCTTACGGCCACACCACCCTGAGAACGCCCGATCTCGTCTGATCTCGGAAGCTAAGCAGGGTCGGGCCTGGTTAGTACTTGGATGGGAGACCGCCTGGGAATACCAGGTGCTGTAAGCTTTTTCACACTGAAGCACACTTTCGAGTTTTTTTTTTCTTCTTTTGCTCTTATCTTCTTTTATCGTCCGTTATTTACAGGGCTTTCCGTTACAGGTTTCAGAGTATTGATAGTGTGAGATGATAAAAAAAGACCTGGCGATGTAATTAGTCAACTATCTGGTCAGCATTTGAGCCCTTTTCTTACAGCTTATTTTTCCACAGTGTAATTTCTGTGAAGTGTCATTTATTATTCTGAGCTGATTATGAATTAGAAATAAAACACAATGAACGCATTTACGGCGGGTAATCACAAAGAATAACAGCGGGTTTCTCTGATAACAGACACAGTTCCTGTACAGATTAATGATTATGAGATTAGTACTTTTTAAAACTGTGTTGAAAAATCTCACATAGAAATTAAAGGTTGAACTTGGAAAAAAAAAACAGTGTCGCATGAACGGCGCGGCGGCGAGGTGACTTTTATTTTTTAAAAGAGAACCGCGCCCGGATGTTGTCAGATATTTACGGTCCGGAGAAATGGCGGACGTGGATGAATTGTTCGGCAGCGATGGGGACAGCGACAACGAGCAGAGGGGTGCGTTTAGTTCTGCTTAATCACTTATTCTGATGTTGTTGTCTTTAATGTCCCAGTCCTGTCCGGGTTTGTTTGTAGCGCTCAGTTTTAAGGATAGAACAGACTCGTGTTAGCTCCGCAGCTAGCGCAGCTACTCGTTCGAATGTAGCTGGTTAGCCGTTCCACCTTAAATGGTGGCCCGGTCAGATTTGCCCGACTGTATCTGCGGCACCACTTAAGGTGGAACGGGAAAATTCAACAAGAAGCTGGCAAATAAGAAGCCTCGTGTTAGAGAAACAGTCCTGCGTTTTCCCCCCAGATACATACGTTTTCATTAAAAGATGTTTTTCTAGGGTTCTTTAGTAAGGAAACGGTTCCGCTAAGAACCGTAAGCTAGCTAGCTAACTTCTATAGGTTAGCTAAATGATTAAGTAGTTCTTCGGATTGATGGAGAATGTGCTGTACATGTTTCTGTATAGTATCTTTCTGAAAATGGCTCTACACTCATAAAAGTGATAGTTCTTTAAGGGTTCTTTAGTAAAGAAAATGGTTCTATATGGAACTATGAACACTCAAAAAGCCCTCTGCATGATCAAAGGGTTCTTTGCATCGTGAAAGAGTTCTTCAGAGTGATGGAAAATGTGCAGTGGATAGTTCTATATAGAACCTTTTTGAAAAGGGTTCTTCTGTTATTACGATGCCTAGCCTGTAACAACAGAAGAACCCTTTCTGGTGCTATGCGTTATAGAATCCATTTGTTTACTGAAAAGCTGTTGAAGAACCATCATTTTGAAGTGTATATAGCACCAAAAAGGACTGCTATGTGTACGAATGACATGCTTTTAACAATGGAAGGATCCTTTTTGGTGCGAGAACACAATTAATTTTATTTCTTGCCTGGGACTATATTTTACCTTAATACTACTGAGTGGATTTGCATGTTTGGGAAATTTTCTAATGAATGCAATAAATAATCGTTCATATTTCATCCAGTAACTGCAGAATGGAATTGAGTTGAACTGTTTATGTGCTTGTGGCTGTACTTTATAACTGTACACTTAAAAGGATGCTTCATCAAGGGTTCTTCAGTAAAGAAAATGGTTCTATGTAGAACCATGAACACTCAAAGAATCCTTCTTTGCATCATGAAAGAGTTCCTCAGATTAATGGAGAATGTGCTTTAGATGTTTCTAGCTAGAATCTCTTTGAAAAGGGTGCTGTGTAGCCCCAAATATTGTTATTACAAACTTGACATTGTAACTATAGAAGAACCCTTTTGATGCTAAATAGAGCCCTTTTCAAACAGGTTCTGTATAGACAGCACATTTTCCATCAATCTGAAGAACAATTTTATGATGCAAGGAACCCTTTAATCATGCAAAGTGTTCTTTGAGTGTTCGTGATTCTATATAGAACCATTTTCTTTATTAAAAATCTTTGGAAAACCTTCCTTTTTAAGAGTGCAGGGCAAGATTACGATAAACGACATCGCAATGTGTCACAATATGCTTTTCTGAGCATATCACAGATTTTATTAGTACTGTTATATTTTGAAGTTATAAGGATTTTTTTCAGCCCAGTCTGCTATTTGACTGAGGCATATTACAGAGCAGCTGCTCAGAATAGAGCTCGTTTACATATAGCATTCTTGAAGACACTAAACAAAACAACAAAGTTAGGCTGTGAATCATCTGAAATTGGTACTGAAGTTGTCTGTTGTCGTCTCCTGCAGACTCGGGTTCCGGTTCTGGTTCCGAATCGGAGCAGGAAAGGCCCAGGTCTGCCAGCAACGGCTCTGGAAGCGAGAGCGAGAGGGAGCGGGACGACGACGAAGATGACGATGAAGAAGGTCAGGATGGCGGGAAGCCGAGCAACAAAGAGCTGTTTGGAGACGACAGCGAGGACGAGCGGGGCAGCCAGCGCAGCGGCAGCGACAACCAGTCCGAGCACTCCGGCAACCAATCAGACGCCAGTATGCACTCTGACAATGAGCACTCTGAGGCGGAGCAGCAGAGTGGCTCAGAGGGTCATCACGAAGAGGAGGAGGATGAAGGTCACAGGTGGGGCCGAAAATATTGTAATGATGCTTGTAGCAGTTGTAATATGCCTTTGTGGATGGGCAGTTTCTTCATATTTTTAATTAAGAATTTAATCAAGAAATGAAACAGTCCAGTGAGAGACCTTAATGTGTTTGTATCTCTAGTAACATGCTGAAGTCAAGCGTGTCAGAGTAGGAACCCTAATCTTAGATCAGTTGTTTTCAGCCCATGTAGTCCTGTTCAGTGCTGAAAGGCATTAACTGATCCGAGAACAGCATCTTTACTGTTGAGAAGTTTGATAAATTGTGTGCAGCTCATCTAAAAGGTGATCTGTACCTGATTTGTTTGGTTGATTTAGTGGTGTATGTACACGCTTAAAGATGGTTCAACGTAGAATCATCTACAGCACATACTCAAATGCAAATGCAAAGAACCCTTTAATAATGCAAAGGTTTCTTTGAGTGTTCAGGGTTCTATATGGAACTGATTTCTTTACAAAAACCATCATTTTCCCAAGACCCATCATTTTGAAGAGTGTACCGTTTATGTAGTATTAGGACAATGAATAATCTCGCCCGTCTGTGATTACACGATTAAAGATGTTACAGAAATTATCTGTATTATTTAGATATAAAATAATTTACTTTTGCTGGATGAACACCTTCATTTACCTTATTTATCTTCTTTCTGATTTTCTTTTGAAAATAACTTATGATTTTAAAAAATGCATTTTGAATTAGATTATTTGACAAACAAACAAGGAAAAATTTAAATTTATGTGTTCATCCCCTTTGACAGTCAGCACACAGTAAAAGCTCTGAGATTGGTTGCAGTGCTCTTTGCTATATAAATATATGCAAAGGTCAGTATAGGGGTGGGAAAATTTGTGAAATTTTATCATTATTTTGATACATTATGTCACAATACACTTTTCGGAGCATATTGCAGAAATCATCATTTCTTTCTTAACTATACTTAAATATGTTTTGTTTCAAAGTGAGCATAATTAGGCCTGTTTAACTGGATATAGTGCAGTGCAATTTGTAACACACTGAACAAAAGTTGTACTTTTTTTTTATTATTATTGTTATCATTATTACTTTTATATGTGGCAGTACAGGTTCTGTAAGTCTGTTCTCACTTACTAAATATCAGAAAAACAAAATGTTATGGTGCGTATTATGTATCATAAAAATGTTGAAGTATCGAGATGTAATATTTTTGCCGTATTGCTAACACCTGGGTTCAGTATCACAATAATAATTAAAGGTATGATATATCATGCAGCCCCAGCCACAGGTCAGACGCAGGAAGCCCTGTCTCAGGAGCCGGAAGCCACAGATCCGGAAGCCACAGATCCGGAAGCCACAGATCCGGAAGTCACAGATCCGGAAGTCACAGATCTGGGAGAGGGAGCATAAGCCCCCGGTCTGACCCCGGCACCCCACAGTCAGGCTCCGGGACCCCCCACTCAGACGGAGAGGGGTCAGGCAGAGACGGCCAGTCAGGAGACGAGAAATGGGGCGGTGAGGGCAAAAGTGATCAATCGGAGGACGAGGAGAAGCAGCGGAATTCAGACGAAGAGAGGGATCATTCTGATGATGAAGGGAGGGACAATAAATCTGGTGAGTGGAGCGATTTGGTATCAACAGCTCTGATAACACAAAAAAGTTTACTTTATAATGTAGAAGTGTTAGTTACATAACGTACCTTACGCTGAATGTACAGAAAACAGCTACAAGTTTATAGTCTAATAAAATGCAGCATAATGTTATGTAGCATTAAATAAAATGTAATATTATAAACAATTATTTCTGTGTTTCTAAGGGTAAGTTGTCTAGACATAGCTGTATTCAGATATTAACCAAGTAATTTAAAGCTATTCTGTGAAGAAAACCTTTCCATGAATGCATTTGCTTTGTTTAATATAGGCCTAAATTTCTGCATGGTTAAATAGTTAAGATGTGAACAAAGTCATTCAGAGTGGTTTGGTGTCAAACGCTTCGTTCTAGAGAAAGTCAAAATTGTTCACAGTGGTGGTGATAGGAACCAGATGTCCACCTCTAAAAGCTGCTTCACAAAGTTATTACATAAAAAAGGTTGTGAATACACTGCCTGATGTCCGAGACACTGTTTTACAATAGTTTTTAGAAGATTTTGGCCTTGAACTCTGTTTATGGTGAAGGGATACATCAAATGCAGGGTGTTGTGAGGCAAAATAGTCTGCAAAGAAAAGTTATTATTTCAGATTTTCCACTGTTTTACCATCATCAACATTCCATATAAACTCAGAAGACACGTGTAGGTTCACTGGTGGTTTTGGATAGTGAATAAAATGTCTATAATTGTGTTGTGGTCATGGCGACCCCTGGTTCCTGTCACTACCACTGTAAAGAAATCAGAACTATTTCACACCAAACCACTCTGAATCACTCTGTTTACATCTCAAATGCTCAATTGTAACTGTACAACTTAATGAAAATATATAGAAAAATGTGAAGCTTTTGAAAAGTAGGTAGAATTGCCCTTGAAAGGCCTTCCCTTTAGCTCTAAGAGCTAAAAAACAAAACTTAAAACAAAACATAATGATTGGCCTACACAGCATAACAGGCAGGCTGTTTTGTCTTAAAAGCTGAGGTTTATAAGGTTTTTCTTCTTAAAGAGTTTCTCTAAACAGTTGTGCTGGTTTGTCTCTCAGGTTCACCTAAAGGCAGTGACAGCGAAGACGATTTTGTGGGACGCAGAAAGAAGAAAGTGGCTTCAGACTCTGACTCGGACAGTGATGTCGGTGCGAGGGGGGGTGAGTCACACTGTTCATTCACAAAATGTAAAAACAGTGTGGAGCGTACAGAGACAGTTTTAAAGCCTCATCTTTGAGCTGTCTCAGCATTGCAGCTCCTCCAGAATTTGTTGAAAGTTAATGATTCAAATGCTAATTAGGAAATACTGGTTGATTTATGCACTTGCCATTACGTCTTATGTGAGTAGAAACAAGTATTCAATTTCAGTTATAAATTATTTATAGATAGCTTAATAATTAATCCAACTAGCTAGATTACATAATTAAAAATATATACAATCACTTCTGACAGTGTAAGTTGAATGAATAACTGGCTCTAAATGTAGGTATTTTGATATAAACTGAGTCTGTTCTACAGTTTCTCATTAGGTTGAATGAATAACTGACTCTAAATGTAGGTATTATGATATAAACTGAGTCTGTTCTACAGTTTCTCGTTAGGTTGAATGAATAACTGAGTCTAAATGTAGGTATTGTGATATAAACTGAGTCTGTTCTACAGTTTCTCGTTAGGTTGAATGAATAACTGAGTCTAAATGTAGGTATTGTGATATAAACTGAGTCTGTTCTACAGTTTCTCGTTAGGTTGAATGAATAACTGAGTCTAAATGTAGGTATTGTGATATAAACTGAGTCTGTTCTACAGTTTCTCATTAGGTTGAATGAATAACTGAGTCTAAATGTAGGTATTGTCATATAAACTGAGTCTGCTCTACAGTTTCTCGTTAGGTTGAATGAATAACTGAGTCTAAATGTAGGTATTGTCATATAAACTGAGTCTGTTCTACAGTTTCTCGTTAGGTTGAATGAATAACTGAGTCTAAATGTAGGTATTGTGATATAAACTGAGTCTGTTCTACAGTTTCTCGTTAGGTTGAATGAATAACTGACTCTAAATGTAGGTATTATAATATAAACTGTCTGTTCTACAGTTTCTCATGAGGAACATGAATATGGTCAGTTATATTCTGAGTTATTATGATTAATAAGCTCTTTTCTTCCCTGTAGGTAAGAAAACTGCAGCAGATGACCTGTTTGGGGAAGCAGACGACATCTCCTCAGACAGTGACGCTGAGAAACCCCCCACACCGGGACAGCCAATGGTGAGGCTCAGCTTCACTGATTACATCTGTCAGTGGGAAACACAAACAGCATCAACATAAACCCCACCCAAATCTGCAGAATTCACTGAAACGTTCTTCAAGCGAGAACTCTGTAAAATAGCTCTTTAAGGTGTATTTGACTAAAGCTGCTTAAAATCACGAACTAAATAAAACCAAAATGCTGCTGAACACATTTAAAGTATATTTTAACAGAAACATCCTTAAAACAAACTCAGTGTGTGTCTTATAAGGACACTCTTGCTGCTGGAGACTTTCGAGGGTGCTGTAAGTCGCAATGGCCTGATGGCCCAGGGCCAGTAAAAGTATGATTAGCCAGTCGCTGGCCTGTTCAGGCCAGTGACAGTCGGTGTGGCTCATTTAAAGGACCGTTGCCAGGTATAATGCGTCCTTTGTAGCGTCCTCAGAAGCAGCGATCTGTGGAGGAGCCTCATCTGCAGCTAGTGCCAAATGATCCGGCCTATCGGGAGTCAGAACTACAGTAGAGTCATACCCCCTGACCCCTGATCAGCATAAAAATACTGATATTAAACGAACGAAACTGGACTTGCAGCTTGCTGTATTGTTGCAATTGTGAAGAGACTCGACGCAAAGCCTTATTTTTCTGTGTTTTCAGCTCCTAACCACGAAAACACTGAACTGAGGTTGAACCATGAGCGCACAAATTAGCTAATGATGTCTGTGTAGATCAGATTAAGAATTTTCACCAAATGTATTAATACTGTGACATTGAGGGCATAAACATTTCTCTTTTATATATTGAACTACATACAGCAGCATGGTGTTGCCACAATATATAAGAAAACAGAAGTAACTACATATTAATGAATATGAATTAAAAATAATATAAAAGTTTGTCAAAGGTTTGAATAAGAAAATCAGGCAATTCTTTGTTGTTTATAGAAATCCTTTTTTTCTTTTTTTGTCCTTTCTTCCCCCCGGAGGGGCGTGTTGGACACTGCTTCAGATGCTAACAGAATATGTGCAGATGTAACATTTAAAGAGGAATTGCACTGGATTTTCAACACTTCTGTACAGTTTATTTGCTGATGTATCTATTTAGGTGAACGCTGGGTTGTGGAACGAAACTAAACTGCATTTGTAACTCCACAGAAATAATTGTGTCTCTAACCCAGGTTGTCATAGTTTCGAAAGTTCCTAAATGTTTGTGGGTTGATATCAGGAGTTAGGTTCATAAAATTATTGGGTCAATATTGGGTTATCAGCGCGTCCCTAAAATCTGTGGGTATTGGCCATAATCTTATTGATAAAGCACTGGTATTTTTAAAGGGCCCATAACTGTTTTCATTTTTCTGGTTTTATATTTATCTGAAGTTCATGAGTATCTATATATATAGTATATTGTAATACATAACTTTTTTTTCCAATCTCTCTTTATCTGTTAAACAGATTGGTTTTATGATGTTACTATGTGCCTCTAAGGCTGGTGTATGTAAATAAGCTCTGTATTGTGACTCAAAAATGAGGTTGAAACATTCCTTATAACTTCAGCGTGAGTGGGCGGGGCTAAACTGCTGTTGGCTGAATAGATGGATATATGTGACATCACAAAAACAATGAATTCAAAACAGGCTACAGCTTAGTTTCTACATACAGGCTGTACAAACTAGGAGGTGAACGTTTTGAAACAGAAAGGTCAGTAGAGTCAGTAAAACTACTGACTACTGTGTCTGGTCTTATTATATTAGTAGTTTTTAACTCTTCAGAATCAGCATCAGTGACGATGGTCATATCGGTCAGGCCAGAGCACGATTAGTGTTTAGGGTACTGGATGACGTTATGACTGAGTTGTACACTAATGAGGGTATTTTGTGTCTGTGTAGGATAATGAGGACGGTATGGAGGGTGAGCAGCAGGAGGAGGAGCCGGTTCCCGAGACTCGGATAGAGGTGGAGATTCCTAAAGTCAGCACTGACCTCGGCAGTGACCTTTACTTTGTTAAACTACCCAACTTCCTCAGTGTGGAGCCCAGGTACAGTACACGCTATGCTTAAAAGAGAAAACGAGAGACAGCCACTACCGAGAGTGATAGATAAAGACCGTCATTATTTTATATGATGTCAGTGAGAGGAGTCTATTGTTGAAGGGAAATTTCATCAATTTTTAAAATTTTCTGCTTAATTTTTTTTTGAGATGTAAACAGTGATTCAGAGTGGTTTGGTGTGAAATGGTTCAGATTTCTTTACAGTGATGTTGATAGGAACCAGGGGTCGCCATGACTACAACACAAACATAAACATTTTATTTACTATCCAAAACCACCAGTGAACCTACACGTGTTTTCTGGGTTTTATATGTAATGGGAAAATAGCAGAAAATCTGAAAATCAGTTCTTTTCAGGCCACAACCTCCTAAAACTATCATAAAGCAATATCTCGGATATCGAGCTGCATATTTATAACCATTTCATGTAAAAACTTTCTGTGAGGGAGCTTTTAGAGGTGGACGTCTTGTTTGTATCACCACTGCTCTGAACATTTTTGACTCTTTGCATCAAACCATCTGTTTATGAACTTATGAAATACTCAAATGTCAATATTAGTCCGAATGCACATCCCTAAAATGGGCCCTTGTATGTATTTGCACTATACTGTTCATATTCCTAACTGTCGTGAAGGTATAAACTTCTCTCACTCTCTCCTATCTCTCTCTCTCTCTCTCTCTCTCTCTCTCTCTCTCTCTCTCTCTCTCTCTCTGTCTGCAGGCCATTTGATCCTCAGTACTATGAGGATGAGTTTGAGGATGAGGAGATGTTGGATGAGGAAGGTCGTACAAGGCTGAAGCTGAAGGTGGAGAACACCATCAGGTGGCGCTCTCGGAGAGACGAAGAAGGAAATGAAATCCGAGAGAGTAACGCACGCATTGTTAAATGGTCTGACGGCAGGTACGAGCTTATCTGATCTCTGTTATAATCAGAGTTTACCTGCAGAAATCAAACCCAGTGGATCTTCCACATTTCTAAATACTCTTTTGTGATGCATTTTTATTTTTATATCATTTGTGAGGGACTGATATATAAACAAATTAGTTAAAATGTGATACAGAAATCTAATTTATGAAGTTTCCAAAAATGCAGTCGTTTAGGCAAAACGTTGTGTTGGGTTTGCTTCTCTACACACTTGAAAAAGGTGGTTATTCAGTGGTTCTTTAGTAGAAAAAATGGTTCATGTAGAACCATGAACACTCAAAGAACCGTTTGTGGGATTTAAGGGTCTTTTTTGTAAACATTCTTCACATTGATGGAAAATGTGCTGTAAATGGTTCTATATGAAACCTTTCTGAAAAGGGTTCTATATAGCACCAAAACAGGTTATTCTATTGTTACAAGCTTGACATCGTAACAATAGAAGATCCCTTCTGGGTGCTATGTAGAACCCTTTTCGAAAGGTTCTATGTAGAACCATCTACAGCACCATTCCCCATCAGTCCAAAGGACCATTTCATGATGCAAAGAACACTTTAATCTTGCACAGGGTTCTTTAAGTGTTCATGGTTCTATATAGAGCCATTTTCTTTACTAAAGAACCCTTCAAGAACTTCCATTTTTAAGATGTAGTTCTAAGATGTCAATTTTTTTTTTCTGCTCATTGCAAGGTAACGCTGTTTCTGCTAAAGCAAAACGCTGGCGAGTTGAGCATATACAGCTCACTCAAGTGTGAAGCAAAAACAGCCTTAACCCCATTTCAGTGGTTTGTCAGCTGGCTATGAGCAGAGGAGAAATGAGCTTGTGCAGTTAAAAAAGGAATAAACTTTGTCATACAGAGGAAAAGAAACTCTGTGTCAGTATTTAATCGCTGCTGACTAACGTTAACGTTCAGTTTGTGCTTTAAAATTGCTGCTGCATCCGCTTTCAGAGGAACATTTTCACCCTCAAAAGCTGTCAGTATCTGAGAGAGTGAGTGCTCAGCGGGGAGCAAATGTTCGTTCAGAGCTGGTGTTTGTGGAAAATGTCTACAGTGGCGTTACAGATCCTGACAACCCAGCATGCCCCCTGTTAGCTGTGAATGAATTTTTTCACAAAGCATTTATGTCTTTTATTTAGTTTGGATTCCCACATTGTTGTGTGTTTGGTTCTCCAACAGTTCTGGACACAACCTTGAATTTCAATCTTGGCAACTATTAAAAAGATAAAGTGACACATCTTTCTGTGGTGAGCTGAAGTGATATGAACGCCTGTAATTCTGAGGTTAATAACTGTCTGTAAGGCAACAGTTGAACTTCTATTACCCAGTTATTGTACACTTCTGTTTCTTGTGAAAAGGGCATATTGGTGTACATGTCCTTCCTTTACTACATTAGCCTGATAAAAAAGCAAACTTCAGACGTGTCTTGGCTGATCCACTGTAAAAAACCAGAGCAGAACTATTGCTTTAAGTGAAATATGATCTTGTTGAAGTGAGAAAACAAATGTGCTGTTTGTTCATTTTGTATTCATGTTGTATATTTTCTCTCTCTCTCTGTGTGTGTGTGTGTGTGTGTGTGTGTGTGTGTGTGTGTGTGTGTGTGTGTGTGTAGTATGTCCCTGCACCTGGGTAATGAGGTGTTTGATGTGTATAAAGCTCCACTGCAGGGCGACCACAACCACCTGTTCATCCGGCAGGGTACTGGACTGCAGGGCCAGGCTGTGTTCAAGACCAAACTCACATTCAGGTACACATTTACACACTTAACTATGACCCATCCATCTTCTTTAACACTGTTTTAATGCAGTTGTGCCGTTACAGTAATATTAATTATGAATAATTACGTAGTATCTTCAGAATCCAATCTCGTTGAGATGAGCTAAGAATGGGTAATAATTGATATACAATTATAACCTCTGGGTGTCATCACCACCAACTGCATTAACTTTGTATATTTTGTTGGATAATGCACATTGAATATTTTTTGCGTATAATTAATATTAATAACCAACATAACTAGTATTACTACTACTGTGGGGTAAGAAGTCCCTCTGACGTGGGGCAGAAGACCCTTTTAGCACTTTGCCCCAAAAATATTAAGGGCTACAATAATTCTTTGATAAAATGTGAAACATTTGATGATTAAATGCTTTATTAGCCAAGTTGTTGAAAGTTGTGCTACATGCTGTGAAAATACTTGTTTATTTTTGATGGGTTTTTTTCCATTATGTAGTTTTATTAAAAAAATATATATATGTATATAAATTAATCATGTGACTATCTAACAATCAATAATAATAGTAATACTAAGTAATCATAAAAATTCTTATGGAGTGCTCGTATATTCAAAATAGAATATATAATATTCATAAGATATTTAAAAAATAAAAATACTCAATAGTTGCAGCTCTAAAAATATTATTTGCTTACATTTTCATCATAAAGCTATTTACATGAGAACTGTAGGCAGCATGTTAGTTGCTAGTGCTAATAGTAACTAGTATGATTACTTTAGTAGATGTTAATATGAAATTGGTTTAATATAAAATAATGGATATGTAGTTAATGAGCAAAAGCAAAACCCATTTCTAAATATTTTAAACATGCATGAGGCCTAGCATCAGTGTTTCTCCGGAAGTTTCTCCTCCAGATATTAGAGAGAGGCTTCTGCTTGTGTGTGTTTTTATTTACTCTCCTAATTTAAAGTGGAGTTTTTGCTGTAAATCCTCGAGTGGCTCTCAGTGAGGTAAGTGTGTTTAGCGTTAGCGACACTTCTGCTGTTTAAACTCAGCCACCGTCTGTCAGACAGCGTAAACGTGTGATTTAGAGCTGTAGTTTTGCTCTTAAGTACCTCTTAAAGTCCACATTCTGACAGCGGCTGCAAGCACATTTGACTCTCTGGCTTAGATTCAGCTCTGAGGATCAGTGAAATCTGTGAAAGTCTGTTGAGTCGACAGTGAGACTGACCAACAGTGACCACTATGAGCTCAGATTGTGCTTTAGAAATGTCTTTTGTGGTCTGCAGGTCTGAAGTTTCTCCACATCAAAACACAGTCTGGTATTTTCTGTACAGACATTTTACTTAAAAAGATGTTAAAGGGGAAGTCACAATTGAGTGTGTGAGATGTAAACAGAGTGATTCAGAGTGGTTTGGTGTGAAATGGTTCAGATGTCTTTACAGTGGTGGTGATAGGAACCAGGGGTCGCCATGACTACAACACAAATATAAACATTTTATTTACCATCCAAAACCACCAGTGAACCTACACGAGTCTTCTGAGTTTAAATGGAATGTTGATGATGGAAAATAGTGGAAAATCTGAAATAATAAGTTTTCTTTGGCGACTATTTTTCACAACAGCCTGCATGTATCCCTTCACCATGAATGGATTTTAAGGCCAAAATCAAAACTATCATAAAACAGCGTTTCAGACTCAGTATGTTCCTCTAGAACAGAGCATTTTAGTCTAAACCACTCTGAATGATTATGTTTACATCTTAGCATAATTTCTGCATAAATAAATAGTTATTAGTTGTGTTAATTGATGACATTCCCTTATTCTGTGTTTAGGCCCCACTCCACAGACAGCGCCACCCACAGGAAGATGACTCTCTCTCTGGCTGATCGATGCTCCAAAACACAGAAGATCAGAATTCTGCCAATGGCCGGCCGAGACCCGGAGTCACAGAGGAATGAGATGATAAAGGTAGGGAGAGAGGGAGAGAGCAGAGCTGCAGAAACAAACATGCACACACACTCAAATTTATATCAGTTATTTGAGTGCTTGTATAATGAGGATGTGATATCACAGGATCAATATTAATAATAATAATAATAGCTTTATAAGCCCTCTAAAGTTAATTAATGACACAAGGATCCTTCTTAACTTTATAAATCCAAACATTGTGCAACTAAAAAGCTTTTCTTTGTTATGTGAATTCGAACTGGATTCTCTAGTACACTTTAATGGAACCGGTTCTTCACCTGTCTCTCCTACAGACTTTTATTCTGTTTGTTTTAACCTCCCCACTCATCCTCAGCATTTTGTACTTGGCTGGTCACATCATATCTGCTTTCTTCATCAGATCGCAACAAAATAGTGAAGAATTAATCTCAAGTAACGCTTTACATGAAGCCATTGTTTCTACGTCAGTTATTTCTAGTGCCATGCTACAAATGGCAGGCAGCGATCAATAGATTGGCTTCATGTGTGCACAGACTGATACTTAAATGCGCTTTATGTGGAGATGAGGAGTTATTTAAGCTGTTGATGCTTATGTTTAGTTTGTCTTGGAGGGGCACAGTATGGTCAAATCTGTATCATGATTGAATAACATCATGATATTCACTCTTATATACTAGTGCTGATACATCGCTAACATAAACCAAGCAAAGTGTGAAATACAGGGGGTCTTGAGGGGTCCAGGATCCTCTAATCAACCTCTTGGACCGCCTGAATGTCTCAAAATCAAAATTCTAGGGGAACCCTGAAAATAAAAATCTGACGCTATGCTGTCCATCAGGGAAAAATAGACACTCAAACGCAGATTCAATGAAGCCAACTGTTTAGCTGCTTCACCCACACTCAGCTTCTGTCTTTAATATTCTTAACTAACTAGAGCTGCAGCACTGCTCTGCCTCAGGGTGGCACTGTAACAGACTGGTTCACCCAGTTGGTCCTTCATAGGCTAGAACCTGTAACTCTGCCCGGATTCCTCTGAAAAACTTTACAATGAGCTGCAGCAGATCTGTAAATCTGAAAACTCGCCCAGTTTCCCAGGAGTTTGGTGTAAAGAGTGACTGTTCCTAATTTCTCATACTGAAGACAGAAGAGGAGATGAGGAAGATCTCAGTTACTGTGAGGAAAAGCGCATCACCACACTAGAACAGAGACTTTACAGAAGAACAACTGGCTAAGTTAGCAGTTAGCCATTGCTGAAGTAGCCAGCCGACATAGGACCCCCGAATACAAGTGGGAATTTCACACAATGACACAAAGGAATACAACACAGTCAGAGAAGCGGTCGCTGAGATAGTACAGCAGAAATGTAGTAGAATAATAGTGTTATGAAAGAGCTTCATGATTCACGCTGTTATGAAAGATCTCCACGTTGTGCTGGATTCTGCTGAACGTGAAGAAAACCCACTCCTACAGACTCCCTCCTTCTAAAATCAGTTCAGCGAAGAATCACATGTACACAACTGTAATCCCGCCCCCATATACCTTCTTTAGTGTTGGTGAAGATATGAGGCTAATGTTGCTGAGGATGGAACCTTATAATATCCCACCAATTAGCATGGTGCTAGCTGCATGCCTAAATCATCACACACTTGTTGAGTAATCTCAGTAATGATAATAATAAACTTTAAATAGCACCTTTGATACAGGAAAATGCAGCTCAAAGTTCTTTACAAAGAGGAGAACATATAAAAGCTCAAACAGAATCTCAAAATTGCTTATTTGGTTTCTGACACTGTGTAACACTGTTATCTGTAAACATGCATAGGTAGAGAACACTCTGAACTCAAGCCTGTATTGTATCTATAGTTTATACACTGCTCACTGGGGCATAAGGATCTATTACTTATTAGCTACCTTAGCCTTGTAGCTTCAGTGCTAAAACTAAAGAAGCAAGCTTCAGACACCAAACGTGTCTTAGCTGATCAACTAAATTTGGCTTAACCATGTTAAATCCCAGGCTTCTTACATACAGAGGCTTAGATTCAGTAACTACATGGACTACACTGCAAACTGGCTGAGCTGTTTTTAGGTTTGTACTCTGTGTCTGAAGTATCAGTAAAATAAAGCTATAATCCAGCATTGTTGTGGTTTTTGGGAAGATCTGAAGCTGCGGCTGGATCTCCACAGCGCTGTGTTACATAATGAAAATGAAGACACTGTATTTATTATGTAAGGAAGAATCACGTAAGAGGAGAGCGCTCACTGTCCCACGCGAGACAAATCAGCAGCAAGACACAATGGAAGTAAAGAGTGTGTGGTGTGGGATAGTGTAAACAGAGAAATTCTAGCGTTTTCTTTTCAAAAAACGCATACACATTTTCAAGACCTCGTATATCCATTTTGTTGTTCTTCATTTTATTTTCTGCCATAATTTGAAAAAGGCAAATGTTGCACTTTAAGTTTTCAAAATTTCATGATGAACGGACTGACAGAAATGGTCCAAAATTACTTTCCACTAAAAGTTGAGCATTTTTGCTTGTCCTTTAAAGTTTGTAAAGTTTGGTCAGACAGCAGCGATAAGTGTATGTGTGTTTGTCTGTTGTCACTAACCATTTTTCAGTTTTTGACATTATGTGAAAATGCCTGTTGTCCTTTACATTGTGTGTAAATTTCGTGATGAGTAGACCAAAAGAAACGGCCCAAAATTACTCAGAAAAAGGTCTGGTTCCTTTGACTTCCATTAAAAGTAATGTATGTTTTTTCTTTTCCTGCAAAGTTATCATTTTGGAGAAACAGCAGCGATACATACGTCATTTTGGGCCATTTCTGTTGGGGCATTTATCATGAAATTCTTTGGACAGTGACGATATATGTATATCATTGTCCAAAAAAGAAGTCGTCTCCAAAATTCTTTACTTTTCAAGTCATTTTGCAGCATTTATATTGGTGCATTCATCATGAAATTTTCACTTGATGTAAATGACAGCCACCATGTTCAAATGATGCAGAAAGCTAAAAATCCACAAAAGTGGAATATGAATATGTATATAAAATATAATTATTGAAGTTGTGACACCTTGGAACAGATGCAGTGCAGATTTTTTTTAATTTACATAATGCACAGCACTATAAATAACCAGAGCCTGTGAGGTCAAACATTAGCGTACATATGCAAACGCAACACCTGGCCAACACACTGCCAATGCATATGATTGTTTTGAATCGTTGTGGAAGTAACAAAATACAAAATAAAAGTTTTTTGTGTTTGAAAATAGCCTGAAAATGTTATTTCAGCCAAAAAAATGAGAGCACGCATCACTGAATGTTGCTGTAATAGATTAGAACTGATCGTATCATTCCAAAACTGATGCAGTTGAATCATCACCTGCATTTTTACACACTGTAGAATTTATGTTGACCCCTGTGTCCGTCTCTCTCTCTGTGTAGAAAGAGGAGGAGCGTTTAAGGGCCTCTATCCGCCGCGAGTCGCAGCAGAGGCGGATGCGAGAGAAGCAGCACCAGCGAGGTCTGAGCGCTGGGTATCTGGAGCCTGACCGGTATGAGGAGGATGAGGAGGGAGAGGAGTCCATCAGCCTCGCCGCCATCAAGAACAAATACAAAGGAGGAGGACTGAGAGGTGAAGTCATTAACTTATGAACAGAAGCACCCTGTCGTATTCATATGATCCGCCCAGTCATTCTGACACTGTAATACACTACAGGAAGTGTAGGGGGCGATATGGCTTCTGTTGTTTATTTTAAAAAGCACTCTATAATGTTCATATGATCTGAAGCGTTCAATGTCAAAGCAAACTAGTTTGTTAAAAAAGGGCCTCGGGCCACTAGCCCAGCATTTTAGTGTCCAAAATAAGAAATGTTGTGGCCAGATGCACCGAGCAAGAGGCAGTGTCAACCCTTGTTTACACTCCTTACGAACATAAATTTTATCACACAGAATTTGGAAGAAATATTATTGCCGTTATCTGCAGTGTTTATGGAGATACATTTGTGTCAAACTGCGGTCACTACAGCGGAAATATGTAAAATGCAATTCACACAAGACATTTGCATATTGGCACGCAGAATATGCACTAAAATATTTATTACAATGTTTTCACGTCCTGTTTACTGAAAAACAATACATGTGGATTTGCAGTTAATGAAATGCTGAAATTTAAAATTACCCTGATTATTAATTAAAAAGAGCAGCATTTGAAGATATCTGGTTTAAACTTGTGCATTTGGATTAGTGTCCACACTTTTGTTTTGCAGTAAAATGGGGGCTTATGTGAAAGTTTTCTAGTTTGCTGTTGTGCAGATGGACTCATAGTATTGAGTGATGGATTATAGCACAGCAAAAATGCTATATGTTTGAATACAGGAAAGCACAATTTCCATAATATGTTAAGAAATTAAATGATGCTAAAAGAACAAAAGATGGTAGAGTTGTCCTAAGACTAGTATGTGCCTCTTTGAAATGCAGTCGTGAGAAAAGTGAAATGCAGTGCACAAAAGATTGAGATTAAATAATGAAATGGAGGAAAACATGCCAGAGTGAAAGATCCGTTACAGTAATTTATTACTTTGTTTGATTTCACTGTTGTTGGAAGAAAACCTCTCCAAAATGGTAACTTCACACGAAAAGGAAAAAACCTACTTTACTTTTATTGTAAGTCAATGGACAGACTTTTTCAGGAAATTTCAGGTCATTTCTTTTGGTCAATTCATCATGAAATTTACACACAATGTAAAGGACAACAGGCATTTTCAAATTATGTCAAAAACTGAAAAATTTCATGGTAGATTATTTTCACCTTTGTGACTCAAATTCAGCATTTCGCTTTGTTTTTATATATTGTCATTCAGAAAGGGGGAAAAAAACAAGGTGAAAACAGTGCGATAAAGGATTAATATATAGCATGTCACTGGAAAAGTAATGTCATGTCTGCACTGCATTTCATGTTTTAACAGAATTCCAATGTGCCACAAATGCAGCGAATATATCACAACACGCAGTGCACGTATAAAGCCGCTGTTGGTGCACATATTGGAATAATGTGTGGGTCTGTGCTGAGCCGCACGTAGCTCTGAACATTGACAAACGTGCGTGTGGTCAGTGTTTTTACAGTTGAGCCCCGCAGAGAGACGTGCGAGTGACCCAGGAACCGCCTGTAGCATTCCAAAATCAGCAGGTTGCTGTTCAGAGCACAATCACGCAGGCCTTTCTCTCCCACTCGTGAGCTCACCCACACAGATATTACTAATAACAGCAGGCGGCGGATTACCCGAGCGCTGTAACAGTGAAACCTTGCTGGAGATTAGGATTGTTAGGATTAGATTTTTTTTTTTTTAAATTGTTTTCTGAGCATTAGAGCGCATTAGGCCGGGGAGAACATCTCTCTGGAATCAGGAGCCGTATGGAATGTGGGAAAACCCTGCTAAGCTGTACTGAATGATGCCTGTTTGTTTGTTTGACCTGTGTGTTTGTTTGTTTGTTTGACGCAGAGGAGAGAGCGAGGATCTACTCGTCCGACAGCGACGAAGGGTCAGACGAGGACAAAGCCCAGCGGCTCATGAAGGCCAAGAAGCTGGACAGTGACGAGGTGGGATGGGTTTGCAGGACTGTTCACATTTGCTTTTAAAGTCTTATTAAACAGGACAAGGTGTCCTCAACTGACGGGTCAACAGCCGCTTCATTGCTGAATCATGTATAAAAAAAAAAAACGTATTTTTCAAAATATCTACATGTTTCAAAGTCATTCAGAGTGGTTTGGTGTGAAATGGTTTAGATTTCTTTACAGTGGTGGTGATAGGAACCAGGGGTCGCCATGACTACAACACAAATATAGACATTTTATTTACTATCCAAAACCACCAGTGAACCTACACGTGTTCTGGGTTTTATATGGAATGTTGATGATGGGGAAGATAGTGGAAAAACTGAAATAAGTTTTCTTTGGCGACTATTTTGCCTCACAGCGCCCTGCATATTATGTATCCCTCCACCATGAACGGAGTTTAAGACCATCTCAACCATTGAATTATGCAGAAATTTTCCTGTAAACATCTCCTTCGTTTCTGAATCATGTACGTAACAGCCTGACTGATATTAAGGTCTGATATTAAGGCAAATTTAGGGTCATGAGTGCAAATCCTGCCTTGTCCTGAATAATTTGTCTAAGTGTCTGTATCTTGAAAAACTGAAACTTTTTTGTTCCTTTTTAAATTAAAGAGGTTTTGAGAGTTTCTAGTGTGCAAACATTGAAAACTAAGCTTAAACTAAGCTAAAACACAAGAAAAATGTAGGCTATGTAGTGGTAGAATGTGTGCAGGTTGTGTCTGCAGCCAGCAGGTGGTGCTGTTTCACGAGATCAGAGAGAGTCGCTGGTTAAGTGCAGTTCAGCCCACCAGCTGACTTTTGAGCTTTTGTGTGGCACTTGAATGCCCCCAACTTAACCCCCTCCAACACCACCAGGGTGTCACCACCAGTGGAGGGGAGTGGGGGACGTGGGAAAGTATCTGTCCTAGTAATTCTTGGTATGCTCTTTGCTGGCCAATTTTCTACAGTTATTTATTTAGTTACTTGGTTATTTGATTTTTTTGTTATTTTGTTCTACAGCACTAACGTCACATTGCAGCTTTATCGTCATAAATTAAACAAACGCTAACATCTGTTTGCACTTAGTGCATTCTTCGTTTTCATGCACCTGATTGTTGTACATTCTGTGTTCATTCCTTTAGTGTTACTTATTCTGAGTAGCTACAATGCAGATGGGTGACATGGCAATATTTCATTTTTATGGTTTAAATTATTTCACAGTACCCTTTTCTGAGTATTTGCAGTACTTCTAGAACACCAGACAGCTCCATGGATCATAAAAAGACAGATTTAGACGAATTACAGAGATGCTGTAAACAACAGCCAGTATATAGTTACTTTATAAACTGTATGTTAACACGTAACTTACTGGATGGCAGCCCATCTTATTTTATTCATTCATTTCATAGTTTTTCAACCTTTTAAATGTATTTGTTGTTTGCAAACCTCCAAAACTCAATATCATCATACAGTACATTTATCGTAACTTTTTCTTCTAATTCTGATTTCAGGAAGGAGAAAACTCGGGCAAGAGAAAGGCCGAGGATGACGAGGAGGCTTCCGCTAAGAAAGCCAAGAAATATGTCATCAGCGACGAAGAGGATGAAGAAGAGGAAGACTAATTTCTTTAATATTTCCTTCTCTTTTTCTGTTCTTGTTTTTTGTACGATTACGTGATCATTGTTTTTGGGCCACACTGTAACCAGCGGCTGCTGGTTTGTATATTTTATAAAGGAGCTTCTTTGCTGTATAGCATCAGTAGAAAATAAAACTGACCTTAAATGACCTCCCAGCTTTGTGTTTCTGTTTACATGTAAAGGGGGACTCCACCATTTTTTTTCAAAATTCCCTGTATAATTAAATGAGGTGTCAACAAAGTCGTTCAGAGTGGTTTGTTGTGAAATGCTGTTTTAAAGGAACTTACCAAGTCAGAACTGTTTACAGTGGTGGTGATAGGAACCAGACGTCCACCTCTAAAAGCTCAAAAATAAAATAACAAAGTTATTACATGAAATGGTTATGAATATGAGCTAAGGAGTGATTCAGCCTGGGCTGTTGAATACAACACAGAACCAGTCAGATCAGATGTGATTTACATATATCAGTCTTAAAGGCACAGTAACAAAAACAGCCTGTTTAGTTCTAAGGGATAAAGAGGGGGTGGGAACATAAGAAGAAAGACTGTTTTTGGTATAGGAAGCCACACAAATGTCACAAGTAGACCTCAAATATGAGAAAACGGTAAGATGTGGGCTGTTTAAGCCATATCGAATAGATTTGATTGAGGCTTCTGACTGTATGAACACTGTTAGCTATAAACATGGAAAATGTTTATATGTGATGTCATACAGTGTCTGAAAGATGATGCTGAAAGTTTGGAAAATTTGAAATTGTGGAGTTCTTTAAATCTGATGGACAATAATTTGAGGTAAATATACTGAGAGCTGATGTGTCATGTCCTCATGGTCAGGTTTGGAGCTGTGTCTGTAAGAGGCAGCAGTGTGTTTATTTGTGTTTGTTCAGTGGAGACTGAAGGTTTTCCTGCTATAACAATATGATTTATAAGCAGTAATTTAAAGTGGTGAGATCATCATCTCACTTAGGTGCAGACAAAGAGACGCATATGTGGGCATGAGGGTCTGTAGCGCTCTCTCTCTCTCTCTCTCTCTCTCTCTCTCCCTCTCTCTCTCTCCTTGTCCTTCATTTCCCCTCCTGCTTTCTCGCTCTCTCTCCTCTTCCCCCATTTCTCTCTCACGTCCTTTCCTTTCTCCTGTTTTCCCCCTCCCCTGTTTTTCTTCTTTTCCCTCTCGCTCACTCTTTCTCCGTCTCTGCTTTTCTCTTCCTGCTCTTTCTCTCCTCTTTATCTCTCCCTCTCTTTTTCTCTGTTCCCATTTCTCCTCCTGCTTTTTCTCTCTCCTTTTCTCCTTCCCTTTCCTCCTTATCTCTCATTCTCACTCTCCTCCTTTCTCTCTCCTGTTTCTCTTCTTTTCCTCCCTCTCTCCTTTTCTCCTCTTTTCTCTCTGATTCACTCTCATTTATTCCTATCATTCCCTCTATCCTCTGTCCCTCTCATTCTCACTCTCCTTTTTTTTCCTTCTGCTGTCTCTCTCTCCTGTTTCTCCTCTTTTCCATCTTTCTTTGTCTTCCTCTCTCTATCTCATTTTCTCCTCATTTCTCTCTCTCATTCTCACTGTCTCCTTTTCTCATATCCTTCTCTCTCACTCTCACCCTTATGTTCCCCCTCTTTCTCTCTCACTCCTTTTGCCCTGCTGTTCTCTTGATCTCCTTCCCTCTCTTCTCTCATCTCTCTCTTTCTCCTTTTGTCCATCTGCTTTATTTCTACTGTTTCTCCTCTTTTTCCCTTACTCCCTCTCTGTCGCTTTTCCCACACTTCTTTCTCCTCATCTCTCTCGTCCCCATCCACTCTGCCTCTCTCAGTAATTAAGTGTTATGTAAATGTTTCTGTTTGTTCTCTTTTAGAAAAGAACCTCCCCATCATACTCCCCTACACACCCCCCTACACACACAGAGAGACAGTGTGTTATTTGGTGGGCAGAGTCTGATTATAATAACACTGTAATTAAGTTTACTGTCTGTCTCTCTCTGTGTGTGTATGTGTGTGTGTGTGTGTGTGTGTATAGTGGAGGGGGTTCTAGCTCATCTTCATGCTGGGGCTGAACCCCTCTCTCTCCTGCTTTCTTCCTACTGTCATCTCGCTTTCTCTGTTCTCCTTTTCCCAACTCCCTCCTATCTCTCTCTGTAGTCCCCTGTTTCTTCCTCCCCCACTCTCTCTCCCCTTCCTTATCTCTCTCTCTCTCTCTCTCATGCTCTCTCTCATGCTCTCTCTCATGCTCTCTCTCTCTCTCTCTCTCTCTCTCTCTCTCTCTCTGCAGTGTGGTTATGTAACTGTGTGTGTACGCTGCTACTCTGCTGCACTGTCAGCCCCAGACACAGGAGGGTGGGTGTTGGGGGGGACTGCAGTAATTCATCATTCGCCCTCCATCCCTCGCAACCCCCTCTCCTCCCTCTCTCACCTCCTTTTTCTCTCCTCCGTTATCATCCCTCCAGCTCATCAGTCACAGGGGCATGCTGGGTAAACCGCAGAACCTTTAGTTCTGTACCATCACGTCATCATTCCCAGCTAACGCACTTGTTTGAGCCATGAACATGTATATGTAGCCTGTGAGCCGCCATCTTTTCCGTCAGTGGGTCAACAGTGTCCGGTTATCCTCTTACTATCTGGGTTGTTATTAAGCTTGGTCCATGGCCCGTGTGACTGAGACAAGCATTACTCTGCTAATGCTAACTAGAAGCATGGATGCATTTGTTAGCTTGTATATTAGCAGCTTGGGTGAGGTGGGGTGGGGGGGTTAGTATATGCTTCCTGCAAGATATATGAAGCTCCGCCACATCTTTTCAAACTGCTGCTAACAGCTAATGCAACGTAATAGAACAGCTCAACACTCTTGGAGGAGAGTGCTAACTGCTTATAACGTTATATCAGCTAACAGACAGCATCATGCTGTGTAATGGGGCAGGGAGGACCACCCTACCAACCCAGAGAGAGAGAGGACGGCTGTGATGGATAGCTGTGGTGGCGCCAGGTGTTGTACTCACGATCTCCAAATAAAGGTTACATAATTTTTATGAGGAGTATTAACCACGTTCATTTCCTTTGGCTGCTAACTGCTATTCACAGATAGCTAGCATATATTGGTCCGCTGGCTCGATAAGATCAGCACCCCGCTGGCTATATGCAACTGCTGACCCACCCTTGGACCACCCAGATCACTGTCCAGCATACAAGGTCTAAAGTTTTTAAGCGCCTCAAACAGATTTAAAGAAACTTTTATTTTGGAAAATGAAAATATTACTACTGAGAGAAAAATGACTATAGTTGAAAATGTTGCTCACAACATTTACTAATTTACAAAGAACGACGAAAGAAAGAAATGAAGGACAATGAAGGAAAATGAGAGCTGAAAAGTGGCTCCAGTGGGACCGGCCTGCTGTCCTCGTACTGTCTGGGTTTTTATTTGTCTTGTCCCATGACCAGTGCGACTAAGGCAAGCATTACACTGCTAATGCTAAATAAGTGTGGATGCATTTAGTAGCCTGTAGATTAGCAGCTAGGCTAGCGGTCAGGGTTTCTTGCTTTAGGGCTTTCCGCTGAGCCTGTGATGCATCTGCTTACGGCATACTGGGAATTTTAGTGAAGAAACAGTTTAAACAACGTTACAAAATTCAAAATCTGTCAAATCAATGAGGCTGAGAGAGATTTAACACTGAATACTAGATAATCTGTCAGATATTGAATGTTTTATGATAGAACTGTCTTTTTTGTTGTTTTTTGTTTTGCCTTATAAACAAATTTACACAAAAATAAATCATTCGTTTTTTTCTTACTTATTTAAAAAGGAAGGCAAACTTTTGGCCTGTATTGTTCATGAACTCTTTTTCCTAGAGTTCATTATAAGCCACTTGCACCATCCACCTAGAAGAACCTAGCGGATTTGATCTAGAGGGTTATATTTAGAGCTGTAGTGAAGTGAAAGAGCTCCGGCGATCCCTCCTCTCCGCTCTCACTCCATGTTATGTAAGCTCTGAGATGTTTCCTGGCTGCTAAGGCTAAATCTGGACGGAGGAATACGCCATCCTGTCCGTGTTCGCTGCATCTGAATGAGGCTCTGCTATTCAAAGTTACCCCAAATGTAGTTGATGAGCCAAGACATGTTTGGTGCTTCTTTAGTTTTAGCACTGGAGCTGCGAGGCTAATGTAGCTAAAAGGTAATGGAAGATTATTAGCATCAGCAGTTAGCCACCTCAGTCATCACTCACCTCCCTCAAAACGTGTGTTGTTAAAGATCAGAGTCAGATAAGCTTAGCGAGCTAAAGCTAACCCAGCATGACCAAAAGCTAGCAAGCTAGACCACCTGACTGTAGCTGCCTGTCGCCCTAACAGTGTCACCAACATTGTTCATTTGTCCAGACCTTCGTTCACGTATTGCTTCATCTGTCTGTCCGTCTGGACGTCTGTTTGTCTGTGGCTTCTTCCATCCAGTTAGCATCACATAAAAGCTGAATAATAATTTTAGTTCTGTATGAGGGGCAGAGAGCTGTCTGTCATCTGTCATGAGGTGTAACCAATAATGGTAAAAGAATTATGTATGTTATTATTTATATGGATGTATTTGGTTTTATGGATTTTAGAGAGAAAAATTGGTCTATTAACTATACAAAATGGGTAGCAGTGCACTTAGGAGATGAATGTGACTGCTGATGTTATGTAAAATGTGATGTAATGTTAAAATGTATTACTTGCGAGGTAAATTGTGGTCGCACCATATGACATTTTAAAGTTGTACCCGATTAATATTCATTTCACTGCAAAAAATAGTATCTTGTCAAGTGAAATTATGTTAAATCTAGTCGATATATCTAAAAGTTTCCATTTTAAGATGGTTGTACACTGATTATAAGATTATCTAACTTATTTCTAGACATTTTATTTGTTTTAGGTCATTTTATTGAGTAAAATTATCTCACTATGACGCATCTTTCAAGCACATTCTTTAAACAAGCACAATTATCTGCCAATATAGTGAGATAAATTTACTTGATAAAAATGAAAAAAATGAAATAAGTTAAATAATCTTAGATTAAGCTTACAGTCTCAACAGGAGACAGAAATATTGGATTTATTGACTATAAGATCATTTTACTTTACAAGATACCATTTTTGCAGTGATGCTAGCCCTAAATGCATTTAATTGCTTGTTTACATGTAAATG